GTGGTCAGAGCTCACGAAGGAAAACTTGCCTCCTCCAAAATATCCACATCGAAAACACGTCGGCGGCCTTGGTACGAAGAATTCTTAACCGACTATCCTTGAATGGTGGCGTCATTAGACTACGCATTCCGCACCCCAATATTTCCTTATGACAGAACTAGTTGGTAAAATATAATATCTTAAAGTAATTGAAACAATTGATTAATATTTAAAACGAGGGGTTTTTCCATGAGAAAAATAGGACGAAGTGAGACAAAATAATTGAAAAAAAATCTATTTGTTTTGTTTTTTATATCTTTAAATAAGTGGTTTAGATAGTTGAGAAATGAGTAAAAGAATGGCAGAGGCGGACTGGTTGTTGTTTGGGTGGTGGCCGATCTCTTTTTCCCCAGCCTTCGGTAATAGTAAGAAAAACGTTTTTGACCAGTCAAGTTGCAATTGAAATTCAATTTTATGCGGGACTTTAAACAACTTCATGCTGGAGAAAATATCTAGAAAGTGTTACGTAAGTACATCATACGATGAATTTAAATTTGCATTGCTAATTCGAAAGAGTTCGGAAAATTATCATTAAGTCCGTCTATTACTTACAATTTATACGTTTGGTGAGAATTTATTTATAAATTCAATAGACGAGTGAAAGGCCTTCAGTGTTTCACCCTATAATTTAACCCTAAAGATAAAGCCATCTTTATCGCAGTTTCACATTACATCACTTGAGATTCCATGTCCATTATCTTTTGTAAATCCGTAAAAAGATTGATCTCATTTACATGTAGGAATCTATTTCGATTTATCAAGGGATTTGATATTCAAAAACCTTACAAATTTTAACCAAAACTGCAAGCGAAAACTTGGCTCTTCAGGTCAGGGACACCAGCAGGGCGAGACAAGACTACTTTCATTTCAACAAACTTATCAATAACGAAATTTGTATTCTGTTACAAACAAGGGTTTAACTATATTAATGTTAATTTCTATTGAGCCTTTGCATAAAAAAAGTTTCCTTGTGCCGGTGTTGAGGGATGGTATGTAAGACCTCTACTTGTATCCCACTCTCTTGAGGCTATTGCATAAAAAATAGCTTTAAATATCTGTACCATAAGCGGATTGTGCGAGGTCAGGGAAACAAGTAACTCCTTTAAATTCAGCAAACATTGCTTGGGTCATATGCCCTCTGCCATAGCTTTATTCTAGTTATTCAAAGCAAGCTGATCTGAGCTTTGTTGAGAGCTGGCTTATTGTTCTTTTCTTAGTTTCTTAGTTCAGTTCGTATTCGATTCTTCATTTAAGAAGGATGTCATTTTAACTAAGAAGACCTACTGTCATTGTGGAGCTGTTAAGAGCTGTGGTTTATTGGGAAGGAAGGAAGAGCTCGTAGTGGGTTAATGGAGCTGTTGCTGGTGCATGGCATGGCGTGTACATCGGGCAGCTGAGAGCCAATAGGGCGGAGCTATTGAATTGTAGTGAAAATAGCTTCTGTAGTCTACTTCCTTTCCACTCTATTGAGCTTGAACCTAGCGCCTAAAAACAGCTTTGTTAAAAAACGTCTGTAATATAACTGCGCGAGGTCAGGGAAGTCATAAGTTGGACGAGGCGAGATTCCTTTGCTCTCAGCAATATTGCCTAGGTCATATACTTTGTTTTGGTTGTTCAAAGCAAGCTGTTCTGAGCTTGGTTCAGTTAAGAATTGTTAATGACATACAATGATTATGATTGGTTTTCCCGAGTTCCTAGTTTCTTAATTCGATTCATATTCGATTCTTCTTTTCATAAGGAGGTCATTCGAAATGAGAAACCATTGTGGAGTTGTTGAACGCCGTGGATTCTTTGGCAGGAAGATGACGTTGATAGGTGGTAGGGTGTGTACCTCGGGCAGCGGTGAGCCAAGTGAGCGGATCAGGGCGAGCTTTTTAAAAGGTGTGTGCGTAGCTTCTTCCCGACTCATTCATTTGCGCGACGATGAGTTTAAGCCGGTGAGGTAGGGTGTGCTGTTGGTGAAATTTAAAATTTCACGCGTAAATATTGTTCATCTGCATAACTCAAGAAGGTGAATCCCCTTTGCTCCTCAGTTTATCCACCATCATCATCAAGATTTTACTCCGTGGATTAGGTGAGTTTTAAAACGGCCGTCGTGGTTTATCAGACAGATGAGATATTGAAGGTGTACAAGGGGTGCTGCACTGCTGTTTAGAAAGTGGTTGCCAGCACCCTGCTGGAAACTAAGTAAACCCCAGGCAGTCATCTTTGATTCTACCCATGTTGGGTAGGTGCTTCAGATGTTTACCCTTTAACCTTACCCTGTTTAATTGTAGATACCTATAAATGGAATCGTTGAAAATGTCCATGTTGTGTAGGTATTTTCCCCGGTGGCAGCGACCTATTCTGAGGAAGGTTGACCTTGTTTATTAGTTTTTTTATCCATAAGCCTACTATGGCTGGTACCTCTAGAGTTTGTTCCATTCTCCTTTTGCTTTGTGTCTATTCTGAAATTAGAAGATCATATCTGTTTGATCTTGTTATCCCAATTTCTGGGCCTTGTAGATGCATCCTCTGGCCAGTCTGTTTGTTCATTACACAAAATTCCTTTGTTTCCTGGCATCCTGTTATGTTGTTTTCTTAGGTCTTGGATCTTCCACCTTTTGACGTGGAAATGCTTCTAGGGCTGCTTGGTGCCTGATCTAAGAGGAATTTTTTTGTCAGTCATTCTTTTAAGTCTATGGCACAAGCATGTATCCTCCTTGAAAGACCGAGGTTACAAAATGTACACCTTCAATGGTTTTCAATGGAGATTCCTTCCCGTAAATGTCTGCTTTTATCGCACCATCTCCTAGATCTAGATCTCTCTGCATTCCGCAATCTTCTACTATCTAAAGATATAGACGGTCTACTCAATTCCAGATAGCTCGTATCAGTCCAAACTCCGGGAGAAGAAAATACGAGTTCGTGTTTTTTCTCTATTATTCCCCAATATATACATAAAATGATTGATGAAAAATGAATGAAGCTTATTTTCCATCGATTTTGATTGATTCTATTCAAATACAAACCAATTCTTCGCTAAATTCATTCCATACATGAGGAAGTTCCGCCGCTTCACTATTCCATTTCCCTTTAGTCTTCCTTCACAACCCACAAATCTTCGATTTTGTATTTTTTTAAATCGATCTATCAAGAAAACTGTTTTTAAAAATTGGTCACCTCGAGGTCAACAAGTCTATTAGTCTAACGTGTACCCATAGATTAACATTTATTTCAATTATAATTCACATCGTGCAAATATGAAATTATGTTGAGATATGTTGTAAAGCTAAATTTAAAGAAAAAGTGCATTTGATTTAGATATATAAAAAATCAAATAAACAATTACTAAGGTGTTACTCAACCTAAAGATTAAAGCTTTTATTGAAATTAAAAAACAATGATATTACAGTCATTCTATTGTTTTCTTGTAGCTTTTTTGTTCAAGGATAATCGGTTGAGAAAGTTCCAGGGTCGCCTGGAAAATTTTATAGATAAGCCTTTAGAAAGATTATCGAGAAATGCACTTTTTGACACTTTTGCCTAAGCGTTCATACTCACTTCGTGAATTTTACATATTGAATAGACTCAAAACTTGTGATTGTACAAAAAAAAAAACTCTTTGTTTAAATGTCATGGCCTTCGTGTCTTTTTGTTTGATTTTTAGACAAGACACAAAACTTGTAAATTATTTTCTATTCATGCACAGAAGGGATACACGTCTAGATTCTTGAGAAGCGTTAAAAGATCACATCATGGATCCTTGGTTGGCATTAAACTTCTTCAGCAAAATGGGAGCGCTGTAGAATCGTGTTGCTCGTATAGCTTCAGCAGACACCATAATGACCTCATTGGTGAAAAAAGGAGCATTTGTGACAAAAATATACATTGGCGTTTAAATTGATACTTTAAAATTTACATAATCTGTCTTTAACCAGAACAATTATTTCTAACCTAACCTAATCCAACCCACGCGAACTCTTCGGTGGCGCAAAAATGGTCACGCGAAAAAAATTGTATCCAGCCCCAAAACATACCCATGTTAAAATAATAAGGTGAACCTAATGACCTGTGTCAGCACATGAGAGGACCAGGATAGTCGGGGACAAAAAAGGGAGAAGACAAAAGTCCACCATGACGTTTCACTATTTTATCTTTCAGTTTGATCGATCGCTGGTCAGTTATGATTTCCTTTGTTCCTGCTGATCAGCATTTGACTCCCTGACACCTCGTCTAATGATTTTAAGAGCGAGTAAATAAAAGAGTGATAATATTTGTATGTGTGAGAGGAAGTGAGTGTGCGAGCGAGTATGTGTGTGTTTGTGAGAGAGTGAGTATGAGAGTTTATGACTGTGTTGGAATAAACTGAGTTATGATGCCTCTGCTTCTTGGCAGACTCGACAAGACTATCTCAGCTTTGCTCAGTACCAGTGAAGATGCGAATGTTTTTCCTCGATGCGACAAGGAGGGAAAATCTGATATAAATATAATTTAGCGATAATAGTTTTCTAAAATTTGAAAATAAAAAACTTTCAGTCATGCAGCGTGACGGTGAAAGAGAGTAAGTGAATGACTTTGTGAGTGACTAAAACATGGCTATGAGCAAATCTCGACCCCCCCCCAAAAAAAAAAAAAAATCAGACCATCACATTAGTCTTTTTTAGAAAAACAGTTTTCAATTAATTTTTAAATAAATTTGACCGGCTTCGATTTAAAATTGACAACTGAAAGACGAGATAAAAACAATCGCTTTATCGCCATAAATCGAGTCCGCAAAGCGTCCAGAAGCATTGAAGAAGAAGCACCTTTAGATTTGGTTTGTTTTTATTTTTTAAATATTTTATTATTTTTACTAAAATACATCGACCAATTAGTTAATTTTGTAATATTTTAAATAGGCGATCGTTTTAATTTATTTATTTGGCAGGTATCGATCGAGAAGAGAGAATCGATTCGGCCATCAGGCGTCCGGTGTTGTTTTCGTTTTGAACAATTCCACTGGTTATGGTTTTTATCATAACACGGAAGTTTTCCGGACGTGCTGATAGAAAATAATTGAACAAATGCAAGACTGAATCGCCTTTAATTTGCCTCTTTTTTTTCTTTTAATTTGCCGTATTTTTCGTTCGATTTATTTTTCGCCTTTGTTTTGTTTGTTTCACTTTTTTCGAAATAGTCCCTATAGAAAAAACAAATCAGTGAAAGGTTCCGCATTGTTATACAATCCGTTTAACTGAGGCTTAAACCCACAGATTTTCCTTTTTTGAATAAAAGCCTTTTTTTCTTTTATTTTTCTCGCAGTTTCTAATTTGTACCCTGCTGAAGGTGAGCCATGCCTAAAGAAACAGAAACACGCCAGCCGGCGGACGGCGATGAGGAATTTCAACCGTTGGACTTCGTCGAGGAAGGCAACGAACAAACTTGGTATGATTTCTATTGTTTTTAACATATTTCAAACCAGGCAAAACTTCATCGGGTGACTTAAGTTACATTCCGAGTAAAAGTTTCGTAATCGAGTCGGAAGTGATGAGAACAAAGACAATTTCTTTCTTTTAATGACAATCTGGAAGTTGCTCTTCGCCCCTGATCATCATCACAATCTATTTTTACTCCATGGATTCGAAACTCCAATCATATCTGATAAATATTACACAGAATCTTACAGTGTTGCAATAGTTTCAACATTCCAGTTATGTTACAGCAACTAATCTTTTATTATAATATTACAACAGCACTAGAGTGCTAAAATACCCCTAGAATTCATGCAATCCGACGAGGGATCATCATATCTGCACTGACTCCTTGAGTCACCTCGACCCCCCCCCCCATCAAGCTGCTATTCCTGGGACTGTTTTACAGTTTTATGGCTTATTCCTTGGCCCAGAAAACATGGTTCGTGAAGAAAGATAGGTTTTATTATCAGGGCCTCCGTGTGGTCTGCCACATGACTTCAGAGATAGCAGCTTACCCTCAAGTTATGTGGCTGGATTCTTTAGCTAACGCGGCCCTGGGATGCCCATACAAGAAAGTGTTACTATGTCACTATGCCGGGCCGGTAAAACTGCTGGAAGGACCTGTGGCTGTACATTTTATATGAAGTTGTTCACATTTAGCCGGATCCTGGCTTTTTTGTCGGACATTTTTTCATTGCGGAGTGCCGGCAAAATTCCCAGACTGGGGTAATGTGAACGACCTCTGCACTGCTGTAGCATATTCAGCAGGTAGCTCAGCATGTTTGGAAAGGATATAGTGGGTATATAAACCCAGGCACATCGGATCATTTCGGCGTTCGCATTCTGTAGGTCACCCGCGTATCATGGAATCAAATGCAGAAACTTTAATCTCACTGGTCCAAGAGAGACCTGTACTGTGGGATAAAACCCTAGACGAACACAAAAAAATAAAAAGGGGATGCTGTCATTTGAGAATAATTGAAGAACTTTGTTTCGTCACTTCTCAGTTCACCCATTAATGTTTGAAATGTTCCTAGTGAAAATCTTTCCCGTAAAATAGAATGTACCCAATGTTTTATTTTTACTCTATTTTGTCTAAAATACCACCACAAAACAATTTCGTCATCCATCGTGCATTCAGGTCTAACCTCGACTGAGGTGAGGACTTGGAGTCTCCGGTTTTCTTGCCGAAACTGATCTAATGGGAACGGGTCTTATGACCAACTTGCACTCAGGGATATGCTTCAGCGAACCTCGGGTGGGCTGGTATGCTTGAAATGGTACTCAAACTGGGAAACCTACTCTGCTCTGGGTCCTTTTGGCCGTACTCGTCCGAGACAGTTTGAAGACCCTGGCTAAATCAACTACAGCAATATCTATACCTCACAACAATATTAGGCATGTCTATCAATGCCACTACTCCAAAATACAGTTTTACTAAAAAGTACAATGTCATGATCCCAGAACGTGAAGAATGGGCCAAAGGAACACCACTAAAGGCAAACTCCTACACTGACAGCTTCAAAACTAACAAGGGCACAGAAGCGGGAGTCTTTGGGATAAATCCAAAGACTGAACAGATGGTAAACCTAGGTAAATATGCTAGTTTTCTAGTCTGAAATCATAGCGATTGAACATTGCTGGGAAATAAAAAGTCTAGGAATACATTCCCGGAAGATAGCTAACTTCTCTGACAGTCAGGCAGCACTCAAGGCCTTAGCCTCATGTGAGATGAAGGTAACGAGTGTTTGGAATTGCACGGAGGCCCTGATGGCAGTCAGGACACCAATGACCTGACTCTAGCATGGGTCCCTGTGCATTCATGGCATAGAGGCAATGCCCATGGTTGACATGTTTATTAAAGTAGGAGCTCTTGCCACAAAAGAGCGTACATCTTAAAATGGATCCTTAATGAGTTTGGTGGAATAATATCCCAGGCATGAGGCACATGAAGATATTCTTAGAAAGGCCATCCGCAAAACTTACATGGGAATTACTGGAAGGCAACCACAAGCGATCCATGATTCTGGTTGGACTTCTGACAGAGTACTGCCACCTAAGAAGGCACATGCACTGGATAGGAGAACAGACAGAAGAAACTGCAGATACTGCCAGGAAGAGGAGGATACTGCAGAACACAGTTTATATTTTTGTGGAAGACTGCAGGGCAGATTCTTGCAACTTAAAGAGGAAAAGCCGCAAGAAAGTTCCTTCACTAAGGAGCTGCTGACAAGGCCAGGGAGGTTGATTAACATACTGAAGCTGGCCAGTGAGTTATAAAAAATAGTGTATCACAATAGATGAATGAGGTACAAAAGGTGTTGTGGCTGGTCGGAGTATCCCAATTTTCGCCTCATTTTCACAGATGGGACAAAGAAGGTGCTACTTGTGCTATATACGGCAAAGGAGTGTCCAATTCGTGGACCCTACCCTCAATGCAGTGTGTACACCGGCATGCTTTATGCAAACTGGCGCACCCTTGGACTCGAGCAATCTGGAGCGAATCCATCCTACCTTGTGTGTGCGGTAGGAAGGCAACGGACAAATTCTTGGTAAATCCTTTCGTCATGCTTTTGTTCGAAAGATACACTGATTTGGTTCATCTCAGAAAAAGGGTTGTCTGGGCACCTGGGCACATTGAACTGGAAGGCAATGAACTAATAGCTATGATTCAATTGAATCAAATTCAAAACTCAGCATATAGGAAAAATTGGCGAATTAATTATTTTTCCCTCTGCATTTGTGTGATTAAATCAAATATTGCGAGTCGTAAAATGGTCAGTTGGATCTCAATAAAGGGAAAAATAGTTATGATTAAAATATTCATTTATTCTAAGACACCTTTGTTGAACCTCTTGTTGTTGCTCTCGTTGGAGGGATACCGTGAAGTGGTACATAAAACGGTGGTTATTGACTTGCTACCCATCACATAGATCTGGAGTTAATGAAAAAGCAGACAAGGTAGTGGTGGCGGTGTGTTAGATTGGCAGAGAAGCCCTCAAGAGCACTGCCAAGAGGGAGGGGGCCCTTGGAGGACTTTACTCGTAGAAGAGGATAGCCCATGCAAGATTCATCTTGACGACAGACACTTTTGGGCCAAAGGGTGTCTGGCGTGCAGAGAAGGGTTGCTCAATGTATACCACTTCAATGAAGGGTGTAATTCCAAGGCATAGCGTCAGCCAAATGTCTGAAATAGATAATCAGACCAAGAACTCTGTCTTGTGGAACACACACTTCAGCCTAGTGGATAAAGAACAAGGATGTTCTAATTTGTACTTGAAAGTATCTAATGTTTCTGGAATTTTTCAAGGATTTTACCAAATAATGGCGGCAAACTGATGGACGTAGGTTTTTCAGCTTCTTTTTTTTAAACATTGGCACCCCAAGGGTTTGCCAACTTCATAGATGAAATAGCTTCATTAAAAAATAAAATAATTTTGTATCTTACTGGTTTGCCTATTCTTGCTGACTTGAACATTTAATTTACATATTTAAACAAGTGAGTTGTACGTCAATGAGTGTAATACAAAATAAGATGTATTATTAGTTCTTTAAGCTAAAATTAATTTTCTCCCATTGCGAATTTTGTTTTAGGTTGATTTGCGTTGATGGTGAAGTTGAAAAGTTATATGACATAACAGAGTTTCTTGACCTTACAAATTTAAATTGTAAATTCCGATCGCCGAACGAGCAAGGTATGTATAATTTTTTATTAAGTCACGAATTAAAGTAATCAAACCAAACTAAAATTATGTAAATAATATAACCTTAGGTTATTTAATTTGCCTGGCAAAAAATGTTCTTTAATCATAAAAATGATTTTTTTTTTTTTTTAATACATTGATGGAGTGTGGTTCATTATTTTATTATTATTTCATTATTTCATGTAAAATATCAATCACAAAAGGAAGCGAAAATGTTCATCAGCCGTTTTGTTTTATGCTTAATTTGAAAATTGAATATCTATTCTAATTCCCTTGGTGGAATGTTCACAAGGTGGTGAATTATTTCTAATCCCAAATATAATAAAAATTCACTTGTGTGTATATATACAGTAGACCCGTTATCTGCGCTTTCACTCATCCGTGTTGCCTCCCTAGATGAGTTGTAAAAGAGAGTGGAACAAATTTTTTGTATGTTACCATACATTGTATTTTTCTTATTGAAAAACACCTGAAATATGTGTACATAAGTTCATACATAGCATTCACGAAAAGCATATGCTTATCCATCCCTAACCACCCTGGTATGTGGCTGGTTCGGTAGTATCCCCATAAGCCAGATGCCCAAGATTTTGCTTCCCAGCCAACGGTGTTAGGTTCCAACAGGGGCTTTGAACACGTAGGTCATTTCAGCCCCCAACACGTGCAAACTATAATCTAGCCTAAAATTAGCTAACTTCTGTATTACAGTTACACAAATAAATACATTCACACCTATGCACATTGCATTCATTCTGATTAGTCAGTGGAGTATTCGATATTTTTCTATTGACCTACACACAATATTAATAATCTAATCCAAATTGGGGTTGATGGGGTACTTCATAAATATTTCACATTGACCCTAAGCATGCACATTGCTGGAGCGGCGATTGTAATGCTATATTTCACCATCAGCCCCTCACATTAACAAATACAAGCACTCAGACAAAACACATAACCACAAAACACAAAAACTGTTCTATATTCAGTAAAAAAAAAAAAAAACCATGTCCTCCAAAAAGCAGAACAAGGACCCAAAAACTCGCGACTATTACATGAGAACCATTCTTAAATTTGGTGGCATGACTACATGCTCTCTTTAAGGAACCAAGGCATGAGAAGCTTCCATTATATGGCACACTCTGAGCAATCTAAGGGGCTCCTGCACAAGCTTTGGCCCAGGAACAGGTGCTCATGTGTCAAGCACATGACCTATTTTTAGTCGGGTAAGGGCAATTTCTTGTTTCCAGCTCAGGTTCTCGGGGGTCATCATATGCAAGAGCCTCTTGGACGACCCCTTTCTTTAATCATCTTCTTTGCCAGTTGCTTAGCATCAGAGGTCCTGAAAACAATGGTCATGGTCGGGTGAGGAGGGTGGGACATACAGGGGCCACCTCATCCATACATTCATTACCCTCCAGGCCGATACCTATTTTCTGTGGTGATGCTTGGTACATACCCTCTGCGGATAACGAAAGTCTACTGTATACCTTTTGTTTAAATTTATTGATTTAATTACCAATACATAATATTATATAATTGTACAAACTAACTCTAAAACTAACACTCTATCTTAACAAAATTAGGTGAAGGTGCATCCAAAGCAATAATGAGGCAACATCCTAAGCAGAGACATTTAGCAAAGCCTGACGATGCGTCTTATCTAAAGGAAAGAGCGATCAGAGTAAGCTAATCTCGATATTAACATTAATTCCACCATTTCGTGTTTTATTTTTGTTTACTGTTTTTTAATACTTTATACTCACCATTGACAATTAATGTAAAAATATGTACCCAACTTGACCTACTCTATTCAACTATCAAAATAGAAGTCAAAACATTCAGTAAAATTCAGTGATGTCTAAAATAGTAAACTATTAGATATAGCTTCATACTTGCAGTAAATTTCTTCAACTTGTTAGTAAAACAAACAAAAAATGGTAATTTGTCTATTATCTCTCATGTGTACATGCATCACAAATTTATTTTAAAAATGTAAATACAAAGTGAAGATGGCTTTCAAGTTAATACATTTTAATTACAATAAATGAGGAAATAAAATGGTGAAAGAGTGTGGATCATGAAAAAGGATTTAGAATTAAGATGGAAACGATCCAAGGTAAATGAAAAGCATCCCCTTAAAGGTAAAAATTAAAATAATTGTTATAATTCCTATATTCACACACAATTCTAGAATTCCATAAACGAATGGGTGCATAAAAACAACCTAGAATTAAATCCTAAAAAGTCCAAAGCTATTGTCCATTGGGTCCAGTCACCTCACCCACAAATCTCTGGAATTCTCTTCCTTTGCCAATCCGCAACGCTGCCGCTCTTACCTCTTTTAAATCCCTCTTGTACCAGCACCTCATCTCCCTCCAAACAGAGACAACATAGTCCAACAATTAAATCCTTTTTCAACAGAAGAAAGATTTTTCCATTCTCGTGTAGAAATGTGTAGAGATTAGTGACCATTAATCGATAGTAATTCAGATATCGTGAGATGCGGTCGGGTGTGATGTAGGTTTCATGTAGGAGTGAGTAGAAATACTTTGTTTGAATATAAAATATATTTTGCATTGTATAAATTCACTTATCCACATCCTAAATGTATTTGTTAAATGTAAACATTGTTTGTAAATCCCAGGCCCTGAAGATGATCTCAATAAAAGATCGAAACGTTGGCACGATAAAGAAAATGTTTTTCTGAAACCTACATCACACCCGACCGCATCTCACGATATCTGAATTACTATTTTTCCATTCCTTTTCTCAACTTCACATTATGTGATTATGTTCACACAAAACAGGGAATTCTTTTATTGCTATTATTTTTGTCTTTGAATTCTTATTATTGCTACTATTATTTATATTTTGTAATATGTGATTGATTTCAATTTATTTCACTATATGTCAAACCCTACACTAATTCTGTTGTCATATTTGTAAAAATTTCTGTTTATCTTATTGTTATTCTTAGGGAACCCTCCCTCCAGAATAAAGTATTTTCTTTTTGTCTTTTTTTTTTTTTTTTTTTTTTTTAACAGTCAAGGAACCTCATGTTCAAGGAAAACCGAGGTGTTATGAACCTAAACGCTGATTCGCCCATATTTATCAACACTGCTCAAATTGAGCCTACGCTTTACTTCCAGAATTTATCAAACCCAAATAAAACAACACCGTTGTCTACGAGCGGATCGAATATTAAAAGACTCGGCCCATTGTACGACAGTCTAATCGAAAAGTGCGACAGATCATTATTAGACGAAATGGAAATACCAAACAAGAGCAATACATCACTTCTTAGCTCGTCGCCTCTTTCATCGATGAACAAACTGATCGAATCAGATGACATTATCAACACTAATGCCGAATCGGCTGCGGATAGAAAAATTAATACAAAGACTTTTACTCGGCCCAAAAAACCGCAAGCCAAACAAAACCAACCCGGACGAAAAAATATCGTCGATGAATTGGCACAAAAATATTCAGTCGCCTATGTAAGTACAATTTTATAAGTTATGTCTTCTAGGTTTGTATCTGTAATACTTTTTAAAAAAATATGTAGTACTATCAAATTATTAATTGCGTTACAGCTTAATAACACCGACATTAACTCTCCGGATTTGGACTCACCTTTAGATGGAGAAGGTAAGGAATTGACTTTTCAACTGAATTCCACAAAATTACCTGTAAGTTGACTTGTTTGCATAATATTGTATTAGTTGTTTTGGTATATTTTTGGCTCATTGCCTCTTCCCCCCAGGAGGATTTAGACAACGCACAGAGCTCTGAAGTCAATAAAACATGGGAAATTATAAAACAAGATATCAATTCTACTTCACCAACAATTTCTCCTAAAGTTTGTACTGAGGAAGTTAACAAGGCGGATTCTATGAATGAGACATTTCTACAGAATGAAAAAGCCGTGAATGAAAGTTTCTCATCCGATGTACGTTCGATAAAATGCATAAACAAAACATTTGACAAGAACGGTAGGCTTGATGAAAAATCTATTGCGGTTGAAAACAATAAAATAATCGATACAGAAATAAAAAAGACTGGAGAAAGCCCAGGCCATGTGACAAATGAATGCAACAATGATGAAGACAATATTTTGAATAGAACTTTTGTCACAAATTCCAAAGAAACGACTCCATCTCCAGAATTTCATCCTAGATTGATGTCAACTCCTAAAATCAATGATATAAAAACTAGAAGCAAAATTCAACCTCCAAGAAAAAAATGCTTGCACATGCCACGTAACATTTATGGTAAGTTTATTAAAATTTCTTAATTTTGTTTTATTACTTGCATGTTGGATTGCAATACTCATCAATTTCCAATGAAGGTTATACAAAATGTATATAATTATGCAAGTATTTCTGTGAAATCAATTAAGCATTAATCCACATATTGACATGGTAAACTTGTAACACTTGCACCACCGTTGTTGATCTTTCAAGGCCCGGTTTTTTTTTATTATTTTTTATTTATTAGTTTTATTTTAATCAAGGTTATCTTTCACTAGTGGATAACCATGTAAAATTTTATTTTTTGCACTGAAGCCCTGCATTTTGTTTTAAACTGCGGCCATTTGAGCATCTTGATCTGGTTACTGAATCTCTGCTTTAATATGTATTACTGTTGATATCCTCAAAATATATATATATATACATTCCCAAAAGTCTGGTCACATTCACTCACACGGTGTACTCGAGATTCCTCATGGCAGGATTAAACCCATTCCATTCTCGCTCATAACTAACTTTTACATTACAGGCGTCACACTCACCCAAGAGTATTCGAACATTCTGAGTGGGGTTAAACAATCCCTGCAATTTTTTATAAAATGTAAAATTATATAATGTAAATAACATTTTAGTATACACATGAAAATTTGTGTTTACGTCTCCCATATGCATACTAAATAAATAAACGTTATAAAACAAAAATCACCTTATTACTGTAGTTTTCTGTTAAAGCAATCTAAAAAGACTCGTCATGGCTGCCCACGTTATTTTTTTGTCGACAGTGGTGCGAGTGTTAATTTGCACATTTACAGGGTATACTTTTAATGGGTGTATGATTTATTTCAAATAGTGAATTTGATTCATACACATATAAGATACTTAATATATTAAGAACATCACACACATTTTTGAACCGAGATTTGTAACTTGGGAAAATGCAGAAATATAATGATGAAAAATGTATAACGAAAACATGCTCTCATTCACATATTTTCTCCGCTTCATAGAAAAACATTGAGTCATGGATATTTAACCTAATCCTAACCTAACCTAATGCTTGTAACACAAAAATGGTTACACAAAAATAGTGTATCCAGCCCAAAAACATATCCATTTTAATATATANTCTTGTTGATTTCTCTTTTCAGGAATATTCAATTTACAAATGTTAGTGTGGACGTTAATATTATTTATTGCCTATATTATTTTTTTATCTCAACCAAAAACTTAATTAATTGAAAAGAATTTATTTGGTCAAGCGGAAAACGAAACTTAATAAATAAAGTTTTTTGATGTTGCGTACTATCACGATACCCTCCTGATCCGGGCTGACCTTATATCAAGTATATAAGGATTTATTACTTATTTGGATATTTCACAGATATGTTTGTAATTATTGTTCTATTTAAAAATTGGCCTAACTTGGAAAAGCAGCGCACTACTTGACTTGTTCGCCATTTGGAGATGTTAAATAAAATAATTTCCTTTTGAATTCACAAGACAAACGATTTTTAACTTGTCGGTTGCATTGTTTGGGTTTGTAATTGTCTATTTTTTGCTTATGTTTTCAACTGTTCTTCTGGTTCAAGGTAGTAACTATCAGAAATCTTTTTCTACTTTACACATTTAATCAAATACAAATATAAACTTGATGTTTGACTAAGTACAACCTAAGTGACTAAAGGTGCAACCTATAATTTAAATGAAAATTTCTTAATGTTTAAATATTGTAAAAATTTTTCTGAGGGTTTTGGGCTTTACATTCTTAATGTCTGAAATTTGCATTATGCATGATCTATACACTTATTAGATGAGATGATTTTCACTTGATTGCCTTTATTTATCAAATAAACTTGAACACTGTCTCTCCTACCTTCAATATTTTCTTTTTCCAATTGTGGATGCCTGTGTTTGTAAATATATACTGTGACTACCGTTCGACTGCTTTATTATGCCTTCTCTTCCTCATCAATTCATTTTTGAGTTTTTTCAGAGTAGTTGAGGCTTGTTTTCATAATGGGCGTGTGCATTTTAACCGTTTAAACCTCAAAAGTTCACAGACGACATACTCCCGTCAGCAGTTATTGTTTTTCCTTATTTCTTTTATTATTTTATTTTTTTAGTTCTTGAAACAGCAAATTCTATGCGCAAAGTTGTTTCTGAAGAAAATTTAATGAAGCCAATGAAAATATTAAGAAAACCACTATATTATGCTTCTACAACTAATCTGAATAACAATAATAATCCAAATATAGGTAAGCTATTTTATTGATACAATATTCTGTAAATACTTCAGTTCATTGAGTGTTAATTTTTTGGTGGAGGAATTTGAAAAATAGTTATTAAAAACAGACAAATTTTAATTAGTTTGCTTAAGCATACATATATAAATATATTTCAGTTAATTATTTTTTACATGATAACTGGGGAAAATATTGTCAACATTAGTTGAATATTGAGTAGACAGCACATTAAAAAAAATGGATATATTTATTGGCTTTGAACTAACTACAGTGCTATCTCAGTAGTCCAAACTAATCCCTGTAGGGGGGAGGGGAGTTATATAGGGTGTTCAAAAACTACAAACATGGGTTAACAAACGTTTAAAAAAAAACACGTTAAAAAACTTTTCAACACAACAATTTTTTTTTATTGCATATACAAAACATTAAACCTATTAAAATACATACAATATATGTTGTCACTTTTTAAAAAAAATTTTTTTTTATTTTGTTTAACCTTTTCTTCGTTGGTTCTTCCTTTCTCATTGTTAAGCAATACACTACAACAATAACATTTCATTTTTTAGTAATGAAGAGATTAGGAGGATTCACTGAATAAAAGAAACTCTTGAATATGACTCCCTCACTCACTCTCTTTCTTTCACTCTCTTTTTCCCCCTCTCTGTATCCTTCTCTCTCTATTTCCCCTCTCTTTATCTCTCTCTTCCCCCTCTGTCTCCCTCCCTTTCTCTTTCCCCCTCTCTTTCTCACCCCTCCCTCTCTCTCTCTCTCTTTCTCACGCATTTACTTTTTCTCAATTACTCTTTCTCTCTCTTTCCCTCCTCTGTCTCCCTCCCTTTCTCTTTCCCCCTCTCTGTCTCCCTCCCTTTCTCTTTCCCCCCTCTCTGTCTCCCTACATCTCTCTCTCTCTCTTTCCCCCTCTGTCTCCCTCCCTCTCTCTCTCGTTCCCTTTCCCCCTCTCTTTTTCACCCTCCCTCCCTCTCACTTTCTCACGCATTTACTTTTTCTCAATCACTCACTTTCTCTCTCTCTCTCTCTCACTCTCTCTCTCTCTCTTTTCCTTCTGTCATTCACTCCATCTCTCTCCCGAAATAATGTTTCATTTATTTCCTTTAAACTCATTCTCAATTTTTCTCCAGTTTGGGAACCATAATGTTTGGAATACTGAAGTTCGGATTAATGAGAGAAAACACTGCATTGATACAGAACATTATAGTAAATTAATGTTGAATAAGCTTGGATACAAGACAGTAAAAATGTTATATATTCCCTTTGATAATGGATAGCATTTTTGTAGAACTAGTTTCAAATGAAATCATCGTAAGATGGAAAAATTTGTTTTGAGCCATTATAAACGGATCCATGTAGTTTAAGATAGCCAAATTTAAAGCCCTAATGTATGACAGGAATTTACTTCACAGGTATTCTTAAAAAGGTGGATATATTTGAATATTCATTGATAAAGAAAAGGAAAATCGTCAAAACTCTTAAAAATTCAAATAACTGTTTGATAAATACTAAAAGTGCTAATATAGTGAAAATGATCCCGAAAATTTGTATCTAAACTAATAGTAAATAATTACAAGAAACATTTTGTGTTCTTCACTCTAAGTTTTTGTCACAAATTGTATTGTTTATGTAACTTAAGACATCTCTTTGTGTACTGTACTTCAAATTTATTGATGAAAACACAAAACCCATTTAAAATTAATTTGTATTTGGTTAAAAGCAATTTTTTCTATCATGTTATCAAGTTGTGTGATAAAGGAAGGAACCATTCGTACACAGTTTAATGGGTTATAATGACTTTAGAAACTTTTCACTGTAACCGTTTACAATTAGGATGAAATTAGTTGAATGTATCATAAAATATCAACCAAACACAACAATAGAAGCTTTCTAGCAAGTCACACTAGGAGACGACTGCCAGACTTCAAAATCCAATTTTTGGACCAATCAACACAAGAATTGCCATCTGCAGGGAAATGTAGATTTACTAGCTACCCCTAACACTTGGAGACATGGGACAAGATCTGCAGGAACAAAAATTGACAGAATTTTTAAATTAACCAGGATAGACTCTTGGCTCATAGAACCTGTAGGTAAACTCATATAATCAGTAGGTGTGATTCCCTCCGTCGTCCCTGAAATTTTATTCACACTCTCTTGAGAAATGGTTTGTTACATGGATGACCTTAAAAATTGGAGGACAAGCCATTTTCCAATCAAAATCCCAGTATTGACAGATCTCTACTCACTCTATTGTACGATTTTTGATCCAAAATTAAAAATAATTTAATAATTTTGTAGTAAATTTAACTTAATTTTTACTTTAGAAATATTAGTTTTTATGTTTGTTGTATTGTTTTTTTACTCGAGTGCCAATAAATTTGAAGTTTTGCCTTCCTTCTAAGGATTTTTACAATGTGTACCATTTTCCTAGCCAAATTATTGGAAAAAAAAGGGAAACAACATCAGCAAAAAAAGAGGAAAATGGGTTGATGAAACCTTGGACAAAAATGACCAACTTTTCAGGAAGAAACAAAAAAGGAAGCTCACAGAAGAATATCCTGAACCAAATACTGAATCCTAAAATAATAGAAATATAATGACAAATTTTGCTCCAGAAAAAAAGGAAAAATCTTAGACACACAAAAAGAACTTTAGAAAAAAGATATCAACCCACAGGGCCATGGAACATAAAACGGAAAGACTCAGGGAAAGGGAACCAAACTAAATTATGTGAAAAAAGAACATGAAATCATTGAAATGGAGACAAGCCATGTCCACGATCCAGAGCCATCCAAGACAAGAGGGAGACCAAAGAATTCACAGGGTCCTCATAGCGACATCAGCGTGTCAATAAGGAGTCATGGAGAAACATGGGAAAGGACTATGTTTGTCTGGTTTTAAGTTATTAAATCAAACAGATGTAGAAAAAATAATATAAAAATATCTAGTTAATACAAACCTAAACCTGTAAAATAAGACTATCATTTACATAGATTCTTCAACATTAAAAAATAAAAATAAAACCAATAAAAACTTTATTTATTTATTTGTTTATTTAAAATTGTTAAAATAAGTGCAAGGTTCATTAGATTAATAACTCTCAATTTGAAAATTGCATTTGCTTGATATTTTCAATGTTCAATCGCTTTCACATTTATTTGTATTTTTATGCAAATTTATTTATTTTATTTTTTATTTATTTTATCTATTTATTTATTTTTTTAGGAATGTCTACTGAAAGCCTACCTGGACCATCAAGTTCATTGGCCGTGAGTATCTTTCTTTCTATCCTGTTAATTGTATAATAATTTAAACGTTGCTCCAAAGCTAAGATCAATTAGTTAACATGGTTTAAATTTAAACTCATAAATTTTGAGATATTTTTTATTAATTATACTAATTATTAATTGATTATGGTAATTTCTGCAGTCTGCAAAAGCAGAGGGTTCACGTTTACCTGTGCCAAAGAGAAGATCTTCACGTATCCCCATGATCAGTAAGATACCGACACCTTTCCAGAGATAACTCGTCTTCAAATATTTCTACGTATTGCTGTAATGTTTATTCAAATTTATATTCATTTAAATGATTCCAATTTAAAGATTGTTCACTACTTTTTGTTTTAAATTACATTAAAACACTACTTTGATCAATTATAATTCCCATCTGTGGGAAATGCAAGTATTGTCTGAATTTATTCGTAAAGTTGGAAACTACATTCACTACTGGTATAAAGTCAAATACGGTAGAAGTAAGGTAATCTGAATATAACACATTTGGATATATTTCGCCTGTTTTAAGTCAATAATTGTTCCTAACAATGTGGTACTAGGAATTTATCAGATAGGACAAAGCCATGAAAAGGCTGTTAGATATAAAATTCAAATCTATAATTCATGCAGATGTTTGAAAATACATTACATACGTAATCCTTCAAAGCAAATGTGCCCTTTCCAAATTTATAATGTTGACAATATTTATTTTTTATTGTTTAAAGGTCCATGAGTAGAAAAACAATTGACAGCAGTATGATCATAATGTTTGGTTTTGGTTTGCCTATCGTTGTTAGTTAGGCATGCTTCTATTTAACATCTTCAATGGAAAAAAAATCCTTTGTAACGGATAACCAGTATGATCACACTGCTGACAGTGGTGTGTAAATCTTTTGAAATATTAGGGATATTTTCTAAAACAACTTTTTTTTTTTCTTTAACACATTTTTAATAGAAATTAAAGGGCAATTTGATTGACATGTACCTGAAATGCATAAAAAATGTATTTTTTTAAAAAATATACATATATATTTAAAAGAAGGAAAAAATAAGATGCATAGTATACATGTTATGATAACTGATTGTTATTATTGTAGGTTTGAAAAATACATGTTCCGGTAAATATGTATTCTTGTTCATTTGATCAATTTTACATGTTTATTTTAATTTATTAACCTGATTCAAATTCTAATTATACAATTTTTCTTTAAAACAATGCCTTGTGGTTTAAAAAAAGTAAATTCATTACTTATTTAAACATCTATTTGGACATTTTTGTAATTTAAATCCTTCATCAGCTCTTTTTAAAAATTATTAAATTTTTCATTATATAGTTTCTTTTAAAAGATGTTTAAAAGCCACATGGCCAAAATGGAAGAACGTCTAGGTTTTAAAAAGATCTGATGATGTGTGTAAATCCTCAAAACGCCCTTATAAATGTTTCAATAAGTAATGAATTTACTTTACAAAAAAAAAAAGATTTTTTTAACTAAAACCAAAAAATAAAAAAGACAAATTAGTCTAAAAAATTTCCATGTTATTTTAAAAAAAAGTTTTTGTTTTTATAGTAGCTTTAACTAAATACATAATGTATTTGTATGCAAATTTTGACTAAAATGAGGTATATTAACTGCCAAATACAGTTCTTATATTTTTTTGCTATTTACTTTGGATCTTTCATCATATTAGAAAGGAATTCAATGATAGTTTGCTTTGCTATTTCTACTCTTATGCCGGCTTTATTGAATGAAGAGTTGATATATCCCTCCCCCACCTAACCTAACCCGTCCCAATGGAACCATTCCTAACCTAATCCAACCCGTCCCTAACTTTATTGATACCAAATATCACCCCCAATAAAATAAAATAAATCTATTTAAAAGCTAATTATTATTGAAATCTTAACTATTTCAATGTTAGATTATTGATAACAGTATTAATTATTCCAATTAATTGGTATAAAAATATTATTGAAACATTTAAAAAAAGTCTGATACAACATATTAACCTATCAAACATCCCTAACCCAATCCCTCCCTAACTTAACCATTCCTAACCTCAATATATATAAACCTGAAATATATACAAACATTATCATAAATCTTATATATAATTAAATATATATTATTAAAACAAATTTTAAAAAAGCCTGGTACAACACATTATGAATATGTTCCTTACTAATAAAATTAATTTATTCTAAGACTGGTAATTATTTTCACTTGGTAGTGAAGTTTAACAGATATTTATTTACTGTTCTGTCAAAAAGTTCATTCTATTACAGGTGTTGTTTGTGTGAATTTTTGTGAATTCAGTAATGAACTACTTCGTTTTATAAAAGCAAATTTATTATAACGAATTGTGTTGTTGAACATTGAATATACACTATTTGCCACTTAACCGTTTCATGACGGTGAGCGTGATATCCGCTCTTGAACCAGTGAGGTACTGAGAGTGTGACATCACGCTCTAGTACGCTTTTAGACTGAAGTTCAAAGAACCAGTGTGTTGCTTAAAATGGTAAACCTTCTAAATTTCCGACTATTGCTAGTGATAAAAATAAAAACTTGTAAAAAAAAAACAGCACACTGAATCTTTGAACTTGAATAAACATGAAAAGAGTAGGGTGCAATATCGCGCTCTCAGTACCACTCTTTAAGAAAGGAGTAATGCTGACTCTCCTGATTGTCATTTGTTCGATAGTCAAAATTCTTGCCCCCCTTTTGAAAGTATAAACTTGTCTCATGTCAAATAGGAAAACTGACCAGCTCATTCAGTGCCTTGTTAGAAAATATTCTTTAAGCGGATAATAAATGCTTTAATGAATCACATGAAACATATCGAAGAATATACTGTATCTGTTATGATCCAATTTTAAATCTCTTATCGTTTAGTTAATCAAACTAAGTGCTTTTATCCTATCTTTAGGCTGTGTGTGACTGAGAAAACGTTGTTGTGTGCTGTGTGTCTCTTTTTAAATAGAAACAAAACGTATCCTTCGTAAAATGTTGGATATGAGGCATTGCTGCACACTGTAAATTTTATTGTTTTAATACCAAATGTAACATTTTTTAGTTTTTAAATTTATATCTGTTTATAAAATAATTATAAACCAAATTGGGAAAAATCACTGCTTGGAATATATTTGTGTAAGTTATAAAAATGACATAACCTTCTGTGATTCATTGAATATTGAACAAGTTTTGTATAGTACCTTAATTTATTGTTGAATAATAATTAGTGGTTAATATAGATTTTTTAAAGCATGTGTATTTTTTTTAAAACTAAACTATGTCTTCCAAAGTTGTCCGTTGTACTCTATAAATTATACATGTAACATGACACAAATAATTAATGTCTTTAAATGATAAATATTGTACAGAAATTGTCATGTCAGTATGATAAATATATATTCTTGGTGTCAAACTATTTCCATGGTCAAAAACATTCACTTCAGACACTTCTAAATTCAGTGTCGTCGAATGTATAAATGTGCAATAAACTTTTTTTTTCTATATAAAATTTAGAGGAGGACCAATTACTCTAGAAAGCGTCGTAATTTTTTATACACTTTGTAATATACTAGGAAACGTAATCTAGCACAATAACCCTTTAGACATTGTGGGCATTTCAGTTTAAAAAAAATATTTTGTTTAAAAAAATGTTTATAACCCTTTCAAAATAATTTGACTGTGATATAATAAAACATGAGTATTCAAATATATTTTGAAAATGTATTACCAAAAAAAGTAAACAACTGGATTGGTAGAAGTGACTCAAAATTTGTAAAAGGCACTTTATGGTGTTAAGACTGTCCAATATTTAAACATATTTTATGTTTTAAAGATCAAAACATACAGAAAACATGGTTTTTAAATTTATATTGATTTTTTTAATCTTTCTTGTTTCTAATCATATCTAATTTATGTTTTAATTATTTCAATTACCCTGTGATGTTGGTAAATTGATGGTTTTGCTTATAAACATGACATAAGACTTTGTGATTTTTATCTTTTGTAACAAACAAAAACTCTATTATAAAATGCTTATATATATCAGTATTTTTTTCTGTTTGTTCCTCATCTTTTATTAGTTGGTTTGCGTAGTTTGCAGTTTTTTTTTAATTTATAATGTCATTGAATGCTTAGATTATAAACTCAAATTAAACAGAGGATTTTTCTGTTAAACATAAAATGTTTTAAAATAATGTTTAATTTTGTACTTATTTAAAATATATAACTTGAATAATCAAATGGTCACGTTTTCTTACATTGAGTAGAATTTGTAATAATTTGTTCTTTTAACAAACCTTCCTTTCCTTGTTGTGGATGGAGAAATGATTTAGATTACTCGTGGATTATCTTAAAAAAGCTTGCATTCCAAGCTTTTCTCTCCTTTAGGCAAACATAGAATTATGGAATGTAGCCTATCCCTAACCAGTTTTCGCCTAACCCTACTCTTTGCTAACTTAACCATTCCTAACTCAGCTCACTCCTAGCATAACCATTCATACCTAACCTAACACAACTTGTCTCTATTTTAACCATTCTTAACATAACCTAACTCGCCCCTAATTTAATCATTCCTGACATAACACAACTCACCCCTAACTTAACCATTCCTAACTCAGCTCACTCCTAACATAACCATTCTTACCTAACCTAACACAACTTGTCCCTAATTTAACCATTCTTAACATAACCTAACTCGTCCCTAATTTAATCATTCCTGACCTAATACAACTCGCCCCTAACTTAACCATTTCTAACTCAGCTCACTCCTAACATAACCATTCTTACCGAACCTAACACAACTTGTCCCTAATTTAACCATTCTTAACATAACCTAACTCGTCCCTAATTTAATCATTCCTGACCTAACACAACTCGCCCCTAACTTAACCATTTCTAACTCAGCTCACTCCTAACATAACCATTCTTACCGAACCTAGCACAACTTGTCCCTAATTTAACCATTCTTAACATAACCTAACTCGTCCCTAATTTAATCATTCCTGACCTAACACAACTCACCCCTAACTTGACCATTCCTAACCTAACCCAATTCATCCTTAACTTAACCATTCCTAGCCTTACCCTTCCTTTCTCAAACTTGTACCATTCCTAGCTTAACCGACTCATCTTGGCCATTCATAACTTATTTCCACCCATGCCACTCCCTGATAATGCAAAATTACACTAAAATGATCTAGCCAAAAAAATAATGTAAAGCAATTCAGGGATATTTAATTAGGGATAAACCCTTTCAATTATGTTAATAAATTACATTCACATATTCATTCACTCTACCAGAGTACTCAATATTCCTCGGAGTAATTGGAGATAAGGCCTTTCATTCATGCTAATAATCACATTCATTTCAATAAATAAGGCGTATATACATAAAGTACAAAGATCCTGTATACAATTAAAAATATTTATCGCCCTGAGATATTTGATCAGCGATCTGCACCTGCTGCTGTGCCCCAAGGCGACATATAGCTCATTCAGAATATTGTATTTCTTTCTTTGCAGTCTGTTAGGTGTCTGGTGTGACCTATGTGCCATCTGGTAAGTATGACTTTTTCCTTTCTTGATTAATTTTTATTTACACCTCTTATCTTCTTTTATCCATTGTAAAATGGTCTATTCAACATCATTACATAAAAAGTAGGACAAATAAATCAGAAAAGTGACAAATGTGTTTTTTGCATTTTTTTATTTTATGATTCACAAAATTAAAAATGTGTGCTTTTACAATAAGAAAAAAAAATCCTTTAATATATGAGTTATATCCAGATAAAATTATCGTGTAAACATTCAAAGCATCAAGAGGCTTTTCTTTTAAAATCACTCGTTTGTAGGAAACGGATACTCTGGGTGGGTTTTCACACTGAAAAAAAAAGTTATCACTTATCATATCTAGGATAAAAAATATTAAAGTTCAATGCTAGGATGTAAACCCGTTTAAAACGTTTACCTGAGAGCTTATCATCCCAAACAAGAATTGTAATAAGGATTTTGGATTGTAGGGATAAGATACGTTGTAGGTTAGAATGCTTTGTTGAACCCCAAAATTCGATGCCGTCTGCCCAAATAGTAGGGTCATCAAAATGATTCATTTGTTTTGTAGTCTGTTTAGCTCTTGTCTTTTGAGTTGTGTGTGTTAGTACACAAAAGTTGTTTGCTAGTGGATAGCCCAAGATAGTGGACCACATCAGCTGGTGGGAAAGGATTGTAGTAGAGAGAGCCGTGGTTATTCTTTGTAGGGTGAAAGTGACATGATCTCATTTTTGTATGTTAATTGCATCTTCCACTGCTTGAACCACTTCTCAAGGGATGTGGCATGGTTCTGTTGAGATGACAGGATCTGTATGTACAAATGGTAGTATCATCTGCATAGGTGATGAGGATCGTTTCAGTAAAGGTAAGAATATCTATGATGTATACTGTGTAGAGGATGGAATCCTTGAGACCACTGCATCTGGGCCGGCGGATAGAGAGGGGCCCCTGATGACTTGAATCTGTCAATTATGGTAAGATTTTAGGATCAGTACTCCCTTAGGCTTCCATAGCAGCCATGAGTACCAACCGAAGGCTTGCTTCACATCTAGAAGAACACTGGAGCACTGCTTTTGTCAAGAGTATTAGCGATGATGTCTACAATGCCATGACACTGCTCAACAGTGGAATGAGAGTATCTGAACTCAAACTGGTGGAGATAAGGATGTAGGAATGAAGGATGGAGAGAATTTCTAGAATTTTGCTCATTATAAGCAACATATTAATTGGGTGGTAGGATGATGGAAGGTTTTTTTTAAGCATTGGAATCATTCGGATAAGAGAAAAAAATTATTATAAAATAAAATTTAAGGACAATACCCTTTGAAAAAGTCAAAGCGGAGCAGCCTTCCTGCTTCTCCCTGATCTAATTCTGCTAACTGGGACATCATGTCATCTGTGAGTTCCATGTCATATATCTGGGGGGAAAACATTACTCAAATCAAAATAAATTTGAATATCAGTAAATGATTTTTGCGCACTTACCTGGATATTTTCCTGAATATGGCTCGGTGTAGTACTCTTTGGTATAACTGTAATCCCTTTTTGTACTATATATCTCAATAAAACTTGCGATGTCGATTTTCCTAGAGTTTCAGCTATTTGCAATACAACCGGATGGCTTGACATCGGCGGCAGATCTGACCTATAAAAAAAGAAAACAATAAAATGTCTTAATTTTAATTACAACAGATTATTTTTATCTATGTATGTGCCCGGCGTGTAGAGAAAAATGTGATGTGTCCCATTTAATTCCTTGGCTCCATGTATAGGGCATGTACGAATACCATAATAATGGTATTGAGCACAGCAAATTTGGGTCCCCTGTTTAGATTCTTGGAGGAAAAAGGGTTGTTTTATTCTATACAGTACTAATAGTTTTATGCCCCTAGCATGTGTTGAGACTGAATGTATTTGTTAGCATGAATGTGTGAGTATGATGACAGGATATTGCCTCAGTTAGGTTAATTATATAAAGGGTGATGAAGGAATATCAAGTACTCCACTTTATTTATTACTCAAAACTTACTTCATACTTACTTTCTATCTTTCAAAAAGTTTGAACCCTTTGAGCCCAATGGACTATAAGCTGTTACGGACATTCCTTTTTCTTGGCAAAGGTCGACCAGTTCTTTCTGCTGATTGTACAAATGCAATTCGACTTGAAGCGTGCTCGGCTTTATTTCAGCGTTTTCGTACACTCTTTGAAGCTGGCGAGCATTGAAGTTGGAAACACCAATTGCTTTGAGAACTCCTTTTTTAACATATTCTTCCATAGTCTACAAATGGCAGAAAAGTACAAACGATTTAAGTGATATGATATTGAAAATTCATTAAAAACTGGTTCCTTCCAACGACGAACCTTCCAAATAGCCACATGATCTGTATTCATATCCAATACAATACTGCCATCATCAGCATGTGGATACATCTCATCACCTTCACGGAATCCAAAAGGGCAGTGCATGTAGTAAAGGTCTAAATAGTCGAGCTGCAATTTACGCAATGACTCATTTAAAAATCTGTGCACTCCGCTTGGTCGCATGCCAAAGGGTGGCAACTGAAAATAATTTTCAAAAATTATAGCAAAGTTTATAATTCAAATTTTTATAAGAAGATGGGTTTTGGAAAATTTTGAGATACCTTTGTTACAATGAAAAGTTCCTCACGTTTTACTCTCCCAGAGGACATCCATTCATTCAAAACTTCACCGATTTCCTCTTCATTTTCATAAGCAGTAGCCGTATCAAAATGGCGATATCCAGCTTCTAATGCTGCATTTAGAGCTTGCTTTAATTCATCACCTTTGGTCTGAAATTAATATAAAGAATTTGAAAACAGTGTCATTTACTGTCACCTTAAAATATTTATATATACACATACTCTTGGTGTAATTTTGAAAAACCATGGTTGACTACTCTTCAACAAACAACATTGATTCATGTATGTATAACCTAGCCTATCCTTAACGCTAACCCTATATTAGAATAGAGATTGGAGGAGTTGGTCTTTTTAAGATCTGCACATTCTGATCATTATTGGTCTATTGTGTATCTTCATTGTTGTCTAGTGTTCCCATCAAGCTTAAGGCTTTTATCAGATCCATCACCAAATCTCTAAGTTTTTTCAAGGCTAAGGCTTCCTCTACCAGGATTATCTTAGCCCTACATAAATAATCTGTCCCTTTTTCTTCCTGACAATAGATATTGCATACTGCAGATGCACAAGTTTGTTTCTGCCACTAAGAGTCTATGCATATGCCTCCGGAGTCTGCAGTGTTCAATCAGCAGTCCAACTATTATTCTAGTCCTAACACATCCTAGATTTATCAGGTCTGCTAATAGTTTCTATGATGGTCCTTTCATGAACATTTTTGCGGCTGGGTTAGTGTCAGTGTCAGTTGTGATGGAGTCAGAACTAGAGGTCAATGGAAATATTAGTCAGAATCTGGGTTAGAGACAGAGTCTGAATTGGCCAAAGTCGTGTCTGTCTATTTTGTTATTTCAATTTGTAGTTTTAATCTTTATTCTCCAAGATATGGCTTTTACTCAGTAAAATTAAAAATTAAACTTCTCATTTCTTCTTTTCTTACAATGTCAAACAATTGTGCATTAATAATAATAGTATAATTGCAACTGTTGAATTGTATAGGGATAGCATTGTTCATATTTGTTATTTATTTATTTTTAATTTCATGACTAATTGATTGCTCCATTTATTCGTTTCTCATTTTAACTTGTAATCTAATTTTTGTAATAATTACAAATTACATCTCATCTTAATCTTATTTTTGCTTCTCTGACTACAATAATTTTGGCATTGTGGGTTTATTTTTGACAGCAAATTGAAGATCTTCAACAAGAACATAAGAAAAAGAGAGAGAGAGAGAGAGAGTGTGTGTGTGTGTGTGTGTGGGTGTGAATGGGGAAGTGTGAAAGAGAAAGAAAAGAAAGAGAATGAGTGAGAGAGAGAGAGTGTGTATGTAAATGAGGGAGAGTGTCAGAGAGAACAAGAAAATAGAGAGCAAGTGAGTGAATGAGAGTGTGAATGAAGGAGAATGTGAGAGAGAAAAATAAAATAATGAGAGTGACTGAGCGAGCGAGTGTGTGAGCGTGAGAGAAGGTGTCAATGAGGGAGAGTGTGAGATAGATAAAAAGAGAGAGTGAGAGAAGAGGAATATATATTATAAACCGGAGTGTGCTTGTATGTTTTGTGCGCTGTCGTGACATACGCCTCTGTTAAGGATAATCACGCCATCATAGCACTCGGCAAGTGGGTAGTCGGAGGAGTATTCATTACCCTGAAACTCACAACTTTTCAATAATGTTCATAACTACACATAAAAAAACGTATTGAACTACTCCTTTTGTGAAAATGCGCAATTGTAGTTCTTTTTGTAGACTAGCTTAAAAGTAAGTTTTAATTAAAAACTGGTGACAAAAACCTTCACTCTTATACATAAATTAATTATAAGATTTGCTATTAGTTTAGAGATAAGATATATTTTTACAAAAAGCCTAATGCTCATCCCGAGATTATGATAAAAACTTAATTATCTGATATGTGGTCTGTGAATACCTTTTCTCTATTTTTGTTAGGCTATGGTGTTGACAGCTTACTAAATCAAGTTTCTTTAATAGCTTTCACTACAATTAAGCATTGTTACGGGCTTTAAATGAAAGGCTATGGAATCCTTTGTTAACCCTTGGTGCGTTAATGGTAAAAAAAACTCATCTTTTGATTTATCTAATTATACTTGATTTAATGACATGCATTTAGTATAAACAGCTGTTAAAGAATGTTGAAGGATAACGTTGAAAATAGCTATATTTTGAGTGAATGTATCTGGTGTCGAATTGGACGACAGTACCTCATCCAACTCCAAATCTTCAAAAGTGGTTCACTCAGGCAAACCTCTGATGTACAGTGCTTTCTCGGATTACAGAGGGTGTAAAAAAAGACATATGTACAAAAAAAATTCAACACAATAGTATAATGTAGGTTGAGATGGGTTGTTGGTGTCCGAGTGGATCGAAGTCACCAACAACCCATCTTTAGCTCAAATGGTAGAGCAGCAGCGTATTGAGCCGAAGGTCATGGGTTCGAATCCCGCTCATGACACTAGCTTTTTCATTTCAACCAATACGTTACATAAAGATTAATTAATTGAAAGATGTTATTTGGTCAATCAGATTACCAAATATAATGTATTTAACAATATTTTAATTTTATTGCATACACAAAACGTTAAGCCTATTAGAATACATAAATACATAAAAAATCTTCTTTTTTTAAAATTTATTTAACATTTTCTTCGTTCCTTCTTCCCCTTTTTCTCTCACTCTTAAGCAGTAGGTTAACACAAGGAAAATATTGACTGATCTAATATGTCATTTTTTAGTCGTGAAGGGTGGTGAGGGATTCACTGAACAAAAGAAATCCTCGAAAACTCGTATAATAAGCTGGCCTGGGCCTTGCGAATGACTCTCTCTCCCTCTCTCTCACTCACTCACTCACTCTTTCTCTCAGTCAAACACTCTCTCTCATTCTCTCTCACACTCACTCACTCTTTCTCTCATTCCTTCTCTTAGTCAAACCCTCACTCACTCACTCACTTACTCACTCTTTCTCTCATTCTTCCTCTTAGTCAAACACTCTCTCACTCTCTCTCTCTCTCTCACTCACTCATTCACTCACTCACTCACTCTTTTTCTCATTCTTTCTCTCAGTCAAACACTCTCTCTCCCTCTCACTCACTCACTCACTCTTTTTCTCATTCTTTCTCTCAGTCAAACACTCTCTCCCTCTCACTCTCTCTCTCACACACTCACTCACTCTTTCTCTCATTCTTTCTCTTAGTCAAACACTCTCTCCCCCCCCTCTCTCTCACTCACTCACTCACTCTTTCTCTCATTCTTTCTCTTAGTCAAACACTCACTCACTCACTCTTTCTCTCATTCTTTCTCTTAGTCAAACACTCTCTCTCTTTAGTAGTAGTAGTTGTGTGTAATATGCAGTAATATCAAATAATAATTATCGTATTTTCTCTTTAACTGTAAGAGAGGTCGTTCACGACCTAAATTTGCGAGACTTTTAAATAAAACGATATTCATTCTTTCTCTCACTCACTAGCTCACTTATTGATTGACTCACTCACTTTCTTTTTCTTTCATTCACTCACTCTGTCTCTCTCACTCACTTACTCTCTCCCTCTCACTCATTCATTCTTTCTCTCATTCTCACTTATTCTATCACTTCACAATTACCAATTTTTAAAAAAAAATTTTTAATGGCTTTATGTACTATGCATATTAGCCAATGCCAGACAATATGTTATTCGTTTCGGGGGAAGGGTATCGTGAACCACTCGGCTACCGCGTCCCCGATAATTAATGGTAATTAAATTAATAAAGAATAACAGATGTTCCATGTAACGTATTTTACACAATGACTTCAACATACCATTAGTTGAAGACATCGGACTACCTACAGCGAGAGATACCGCCAATAATGAACTCCAACCCTTGAAAGACGACGTCCAAAAAGAAAATACCATAGCGATTCATTACAGGTCCTTTTGTTCAATCAAATCTTTGTTCTTTTTTCATATATTTTATATTCTCTTGTGTCATGTCATATTTTTTAAACAATTAATTTTTTCTTAACACCTCTGAATGAAAAATTCAAAAGCGGGTAGAGGATAGATGATGGGCTGGAACGTCTAAACAATTTATTATACTTTCTTAGCTAAGTTGTATAACTGTTTTGGGTTAAACTAGTTATCTTAAAAATTAAAAATAAAATAAATAAAGTAGCCGTGCTCAACGTCGGTCTCAAGAATTTGAAGAGGAGGAGAGCACAGTGCGGAGGGGCCACAGATACTTCGGCCAAAAACAACCCGTCCATTCAAAGTCAAACTGATTGACGATTTATCACAAGAATTAGCCACCTATGAAAGAATACGAATTTCCCAGCTGATAGTCGAGTCAGCCCTGAGTCTATCGGAAAAACACGATTTTTAGTTTTTGCTTCCGAACTACCGAATCCAAGCGGGAAGTCGAAAAAATGTTTGTCCTCCAAAATTAAAATTTCCACTCGCATTTTGCGTTTCAGAGCTATCTGAACAAATCTGGTTCCGCGCCCGTCTGTGGCCCAATTCTTTGTAACCGGCAAAACACCGAAACCATGAGACGAATTTTTATGAAATTTTCAGAGATTGTGAGGGTTAGTTTGTAGATGGTCCTCTATGAATTTTATACCAATCTGATTATATCGGCATGCGCATGCACAAAATGTGAGGAAGTGATTATGCCCACTCACTTGGCAGAGTTTTTTTCGCGTTTGAATGAGCTTCTAGACTCCAGAAGGTCGATCTGTCTATATTTGGAACAACTGATCGCTTCAAAAAAGAGGAATGAGATCTCTACTAGAGATTCAAAGTATAGACATGTAAGACCTGGCTCCGTCAGACTATCTCACTCACATGCTCCCTCCCTCCCTCCATCTCCTCACTCAAGCATTCACTTACTTACACACTCTCTCTCTCTCTCTTAGACTTACTCACTCGCTCTTTCACTCACTTACTCTCTCTTTTTCTTATTCACTCTCTCTCTCTCTCTCTCTCCCTCTCCCCTCCCCTCCCCTCCCACCACCTCCCCCTCACTCAATCATTCACTTACACACTCTCTCTCTCTTACACTTACTCACTCGCTCTTTCACTCACTTACTCTCCCATTCACTCTCTCTCTCTTTCTTATTCACTCTCTCTCTCTCTCTCCCTCTCCCCTCTCTCTCTCTCTCTCACATACTAT